TAACCAAAACTGACTAAAACACGGCTCTCCGTCAGTTTTATGCCATTGTGAAAAACGTAAAAGGTGAACCCTACAGTTCCTGGTGTCTTTTAAAAGATCCCTAGTTTATCACTAGCAACAACGTTTCCATTGGAGTAGTGACAAACCTTCGCAGAGACGGACGTGACAAAACATCCCACCATCTCGTCAATAAAGTCTGGTTTGATGTGCAACTGCAGGACGCAGAGCTAAAGAGGGTAACAAGTATAGTACAGTACATAGAAATTTTATGTCGGAGCAGGATTTGAGCGAACATCGTTTTACTGGTGAGCATGAGCGGTTCATGAGTAGAGCGTTCGCTTGGGCCATGAGCGACTGAGTGGAGCGCACTGGCATAGAGCAGAATATTGAGAGGAGCGTCACACCACACCGCTTCGCTCACATGCTCTGATACGAAATGGTCAACAATAAGCGGTAGAGCATGAATGACGTGATTTTGAATCCTTAACCAAGTTTAGTGTATTCTTCTTCCTAATATAACATACTCCTATATTTATTGAACCTAAAAGTTAATTAAAAGCAAGTATTGTGCAAATATCCGTTACCGTCATCACTTTTGGCAACTACTTTATATACATATCTAGTTCTCCAGCTGTAATTGCAGACAGTAACTTATTCAGTTTTAATGCAGACCTTTTGAATAAAGGTGATCAAAAACGGCTATTAAATTTATTGAGTGACAGCTCTAAATTGCATATGTGATTAGCATGTCACTGTTCTGCTTGACTCTTCATCTCGGCCCACTATAATGGAGCTGCTGATAAAAAAAAGTAGATTTGGGTAAAAAGTAGTAGAATTGAGGTTAGAATGTTTACCTCAAAAATAAAAATTAATGAAATATTCATTGATTGAACAAAAAAATTGTGTCCTATTATAAAAAAAAAAAAAAATATATATATATATATAGAGTCTAGTACAACGGCTGACCTTCTGGGCATACACACGAGTGTTAGACCTAGTGTCGGATGTCTCCGCCACGTCTGACTGCAGAGGGTGCTGGAGGATTCCCTGCAGGGTTCACCTGTGGAGCAGATAGCACACGTATTCCATCCTTGGAGGGGAGTGGCACTGCAAGCAAGACTCTGAGCGGGTCCCCAATGTTACAAGCTACTTGTGGTGAGTACACGGGAGGTCCTTACGCTCTGCGTTTGGTCCACGCAAAGCACGAATGGGACAGAGCAAAGCAAGGGCTGGGTCTGCCTCCTCCGGGGGCAGCGTTTAAAGGTTCATCACCTGATCCCTAAAAGGAGTGGTGGGAACCTTGGTCAAGTATCTGGCCTGGGGTCTCAGGATCACGTCAGAGTTGGCCACTCCGAATTGTGCCCCCACTGTGATCCTCAGGTCACCTTGTGTATTTATCAAACTAGATCTGGGCATAGCAGAGGGGACTCCCCCTCGTTTGAGGTCCTCAAGTCTTAACCGCAGCACCACGATGGTCATCTTCTAGCAATGGGTACATGACTCATCCACAAAAGCCACCTTAGCCTGCTTTAAGCCCAGACACATGAGGCATCCTAGACACATGACTGTCAGACAGAGCCAGGAAACGGCCACATACAGAAAAACACGGGTGGAATGACATCTTTAAAAAGATGCATCGTCAAACCCGTACTTGCTCTTTTAGGGGGAAAAAAAGCTCGTTTTAGAGCTGAAGTGCACAGGGAATGGAGAGAAAATTCTCTTTTAGAATGTGATGTCTCTATAAATGCCGACCACCACTGACACGCCGTCACACCAACACTCGCTGGAGAGCTTCTTCCGGGTTTGTAGAACACTCATACCAATGATTGCAGAGCAAAATCGATGAAACGCTCAGCTTCGAAGCGAAAGCTTGAATGTGCGCGGGGTGCACAGTGCAAATCTTGCACGCCAATGCCCACTGGCTCGTTTAGTTTACACTTGAAGGTCATTGGGCTCTCAGGCGAGATCCTAATTCGTCAGTTCAGTTCTGACGTAACGTTGAACGTGACTGACTGATAGGAAACTAACTTTTTCTCCGTTGTGGGTAGAGTGTCTCGCTTTCGTCAGTCATATTCTATAACATGATTTGGTGAGGCAGGAATAGCTACACACTGTCTTCTTTTTCTGTTTTCAATTTTATGATGGGTGGCAACCAACATTAAGATGCAATACTGCGACCTACTATGTTGAAGTGTTAACCAGATTATGTGGGATATTATTGTACTGCATGTGTCATATTAACACAAAATCAATATTTAGTTTTTTTTTTTTTTATATCATAGCTATCGCTTATAGCGGTATTTTGCAACACACAAAACTGGGTGGTTTTCCTACTGTGTGATACACGTGTCACCAATCAGAATTTCCTGCTTAGGTCATATAAGATGGCTCGGATCAAGATTAAAGTGATTCAAACCTCCAGATCAAATTCAGCATAAATGTCTTAAGCTCTACGAAGCCCTGGAGATAATTCACATCAGACTAGAGGTCAAAGGTTAAAGATCTGCACACATATGCTATGCAAGAAATGACAATAATGAGAGAGGAAGGGGGTGCTGACAGTCAAGGCAAATAATGTAGCTTACATAGAAAAAAAAAAAACACTTAACATAATGAATCTGGAAGCAATTTTTCTCCCTGCCTGCCATGTGGGTTTATGAATATAATTGCTTTCATTGTTAGCAAAGGGTTGTCCTTCTGCTCTAATGAAGTCATCAAAAAGCCTCATCAGGAAGTCTAATGAAGTCTTGAATAGAATGGCCAATATGGAGTCTGAACAACAAATTCTGAACAGGAAAATGCTCCTCATTTCACTTGGGTGCCCTAGCCAGCAGTTGTCAGAAGACAAATTCATAACATCAACACAAGTTACATTAGGGCTGAGTATCACTGTCTTTTTAATGATACAATAGGTATGATGACACATATGCCATCATGAATCAGGAGAATATACAAATACACATGTGAATATTTTTTTTCTTCTTTTTTTGCAGAAATCTAAAGCAAATGTCAACTAAGCAGAGGTGTATTTATAAAGGAATCATACTCTAAAATCATCTATGCCGTGCTGTTGTCATGACATTTAATCTGCATTTTCTGTATATAAATGTGCACTATATACTGTACAACAACTTGTATATGTATATATTTCTATCATGACAACTCTCTGAAGATTTTTAGCATGGTAATGGATATGACGATGTTAATGTATTTGGTCTTGGCGGCATAGATCTGCTACGCTGCCTCTAAAGTTGATTATTGCTGTTGTTGTAGAGCAAGTACAGGAACTTGCTACTGCCAATACTACGCTGATACGCTGCTGTGATTATGTAAGACATACTGCTGCTGCACAAATAGCATATATATGAATTAACCATAGCAAATCTATAAAGGTAGGGATGGGTATCGTTAAGGTTTTAACGGTACTACTACTTAGCGATACTGCTTATTGATCCGGTACTTTAATGGTATTCTTATCGGTTCTTTTTGTTTTATATAATATACATATAAATATAATAATATCAAATTAAGAACAGATAATAATCTGTGTGTCAAAGCTGCGTGACCCACTGGACAGCACGGAGGGGATGATTTTAAATTTGAACCGAAGCACAGACCAGTATTGATTTAAGTGTAAATATGCAGCAGTCATAACTTTTATTTTAGATGGCACGCTGAGTTTTGGACAAGCAGAAATACACAGAGCCTAATAATACACACACGCTGATCTATATAGAGAACATATTCATATATATGTAATTATACAGATCAGTGAATAATCATCATATTTTCACCCATTTAATACATTAAATGTGTTTAAGTGAATACTCTTGCCGGTCATTTTGACATAGGCTATTTTTGTGTGTATTTGATGGTTTAGACACGCACATGAAGCTTAAAGTATAAAGTGCTTGTCTAAAGTATACTTTGTTTGTCTGGTTGCGGTCCATTTTGGAGCGCACACACATAAAGCCTTGAAGTTGGAAACAGCATCTCTTATGTTGTGCTTTTAATAGCTTTTTTTATTATCAAACACGTCCCGCAAATTAGCAACTGTAGAGACTGTATTTCACAACAATCACCGATAGTGCAGATTCTGACGTTAAGTTTGGGTTTAAGGGAGGAAAGAATGCACCACCGCTGTGAAGGGAAGAAAGCTGCGCTAGACTGAACGTGGCTAGTATTTAATAGTTTTACCTTAAATATCTTCTTTTTATAATCCTTGGAAGCCTAAATCGAAATTGAAATTAAAATTAGATTAATATCACAGCCCTAAAGTGTAACCAGACTAACTTCTCTCGGCCATCATCACTAATTAAGCAGGGGCTTTCATGTCGTGCGCACTTTAGCTCAGCGTAAGAGAGATCTCTCTCTCCTGGATTGCAAATAGCAAAAATGCATCACAGCACAGACAAATGGTTCATCGCATATAGAAACGCGTCTATATAGCAATATTAAATGGTAAGTGTATTTTCTTAATTTCTCCAGTACCGACAGCAGAACAGGTAACGTCTGAGCTTATCGATACTGCGGTCTTTCATAATTTACCGGGGCTCATTTAATACCGCGTTTCAGTACCCATCCCTATATACAGGTGGAGCTGAGAAAGGGGGACTCTGCAAACTGCTATAGTGAATGTTAACCAGGCATTTAAATGTTGTGAGCAGCAAGCTAATTGGCTGCAGATGCGACATGAACCAATCAGCTTGTGCCAAGTAGTTAACGCTGTGAATAGGTTGCGTTAAATACCCATCAGCCTGCGCCATCTAGAGTTTAATGACAGAACTAGGCATTTAAATATGCATGTATATATCTGTATACACGTACATTTACACAATTAACTCAACTAATATAGAGGTATACATAGTTTGATTTTTCCTTTTGAAAGTTTGATTTTTCCTTTTTTCCAATTTGAAAACTTCAATAGAACTCAAATGAGTTCAAATGGGTCTCTCTCTTCACTGGCGTCTCAGCACAGAATCTGAAAGAGAATCACTCACCTGTCACTGGGGCCTCTATGTCCAGGAGGTTCTTCTCAGAACGGAGGATTGCAGCTCCATCACCAATTAATCGCAGTGCCACACTCTCCTCCACACGCCCCTCTTTGGTGAGGTGTGCCTTCAGGACATCTACTTTGGGTTTGCCCTCACTGTCAAACACCTCCTTCACAGTCAGTCGGTGGCTTGGGGGAAACGGGACAGCTAGAAGGAAAAGATATAGAAAGCACATTCATTTCATTACTGATTTGCTTAAAAGGGAAGAGCAAATCACTGATTTTGTGTTAAAAAATACAAAATGTCATTCATATCGGTAGAAAGTTTTCTTATACTCAGGCTTCCTGTGGTCTAACAAGTCCAGGATTTCTTCCTATCATGTATTTAACTGTTATGAAAAAGTGGTGGGGATTTAAATTGTATATTACACAGTTTTCATATAATTAAAAAAATATATAATTATGTTTCTACTCCAATCGGTTGATGAAATATAAACATTTAAATGGTGCCTACTGCCTATCATAAAAACACTAACAGGTTAAAAGGGTCATGAGAATTCAAATTTTCCTTGATCTTTTGACCAAAATATTTTGCATGTGTCATACTTAAAATGTCCCCAGAGTAAAAATAAATAAATAAATAAATTATATATATACAGCTACAGCGATCTGCTATGCCACATTAAAGAGCATCAAAGTGTCTTTTATTGTTTGAATTTCAAGATAAAATTTACAGAATTTGAAAGCTGGCACTATGTTGCATATGAAAGGTTACAAAGCACATTGGATGGCAAGCACACTACAATTAATGTTTGTAGCGAAGTTTTGTTCACGCTATCAATATAAAACCGCACAGACCAAAAGATCGATTTTAGAAGTTAAGAAACAATATCGGTTAATCAAAATTAATATTGATTAAAAAATATTAACCAAAATTATCACCCAGCCGTAATATGTTGATGGGACACATGTTTATATAGCTTCAATCTGGAAAACTTGATTATCTAATCAAAATATCAAAATACACATTAAGGTGAGGATAAAAATACAGATATTGTAAATGCATCAAATTTAGATTCAGATTTAGAAGGAACTGGGTCATTTCTATATTTCATATGTAATACTGAAATACTGCCAAAGGATGTAATTATGATTGATTAATATTAGCAAAATATACACAATGGTTGACATCAATAAAATTCCAATCACCCACATATAAGCATTTTTTTCTGAAATAAAATATGTTCAATACTATACAAACAAAGCATATGCAGGTCCAGGGGTGACTCCTATACAATAACGCACACAAACACAAGCGCAAGCAGCACGATGTCTGGAAGTGACAAATAAGCATTTTAACCAAAGCTAATTAGGGCTTTGAATTGGGGGATTTGGCAAAGATAAGACTGGGTGGTTTGGAAGAAGTAATTGTACAGAGTAGAACATAAACAAAACCTCCCCCATTGACGTGACAACTGACTCACTGCTTTCTGTCTCAATACAACCAATGGATCAATCATAGAAAATTAATGAAATAATTTTTTTTTTTTTAAACTTGAAGATAAGTGAGCATATGCAAATGTTACATTTAAGATCAATTCAGGTGATTCTTGCAGTACAGTGGTGATTATTTTCTTTTCCTTTCTATGTTGTAATGGTTTTGTACATTCTGTATTAACTCTGTGTCCTGATTCCCTCCTCTCCAATTATCCTCCACTTATTCATACCAAATGGATAGAAAATAGCAAAGTATTGGAGATTCCACAACAGTTTCAGCTTCACTGAAGTAATGGTAGGTGAATATGACAACATTTTTCAGACACATATAAAAAATGCAAAGCTATTTATCAGTATTACCGGTATTCAGTATTTTTGTTGGGATTTAATTTTAGATAAATACAGGTACAAGAAGAATGCAATTTACCAGTGCAACGTCGAGAAGCCTGTTTGGTTTACCATCACCATTTTACAGACCCTTTTACACAAAAGCATTTATTTGAATTTGTCTAATTTGCTCCACACTCAAGACATGAGCACATTCCGTCATCTCCGTTATATAATAATCCTAGAGTGGCCAGCTGAATACATTAATGTGTTAAAAGATATTTGTAAAATTGAAGGCAAATGTACAGTATTTTCCCAAAAAAAAATCAGAAAGGATTTTCTTTGGGTTCATGCTATTATAGTTGAGATCTGTGGGCTTATGGAATACATTTGAATATGTTAACACAATCATCCTATTTTCAGTTTGAATGGATTGGATAGAAAATTGCCCAATTTATTGACTGAACATCTCGACAAACCTTTCAATCACTATGGTCTTGGGCAAAGAGCTAGGCTGGATGACCTTCAAACCTAACCTATATGTGATATTTGGTGTAATTTAAATCTAGCATCTCCCACCCATCAAGCATGAAACACTCTTAATATACAGAGCACAATGAATATGTCTCAAAGCCATATTGTAGTCCCTGCCATAACTCAACATGAAAGTTCTACATACATTTTGGAACTGGTCCATCATTCATTTTAGACCTTTATTCTCCAGATACAAATTGTATTGGTATTGATTCTAATCTTTGACCTTTTATTACATGATTTTTAATTTAATCTTTCCCTTAGATACCATGGCTTGATACCATATTCACAGACATGGCTTAGACTAAGCCAGGAATGGGCCTTACTTTAATAGGGCATTTAAGTAGCTTTTATAAACATGCCCTAGAAAAAAACAAACAAAAAAACAAACAATAAAAACATTACTGGTGTGCATCTTGAGACAAAATGCCACCGACATATTTTAAGATATGTCAGTGCAAGTTGCTTTTAGTTAAAACAGCTCAAACATGCATTTTAGTCTGGGACTAGCTTAAGCCTTGTCTGTGAAACTGGGGAAGTCTTATGTGTCTCATAGGTGACATTTGCTGACTTTAGCGCTGCTATAAAAAAGCTATTATCCAAGTCTGGTTCAAACCTGATTCCAAATCTTCTGGATTAGATCCTGTTTAGGGGATGCACCGATCATGATTTTTCATGGCCAAGAGAATTGCCATTTTTTTCTTTAAGTAAATGTATTTGTTATTTATTTGCTCTATTACAGACCAAAATAGCCTAAAACAATCTCTGTAGCCATTTTAAATGAGTGGCAACCACTGCATTTTAATCATGATCTAAACAAAGATGCTGTATGTACCGTAGGTGTGAGAAGTTATTTTTAATTTAAATTAGTTTCTATCATTTCAAGATTTAAAGGGAAGACAGAATGGTCTGACTTTAGATTTGTGAAATTATGCAACATAAAACATACCTGTAGAAAACAAACTGCAGACAGACTGAATGAAAATGCAAATTCACTCTCAGCGATATAGCGTTTCCTTTCGGACCACTGTACACAAAGCAGCGCTGCACTTATAAGCACTACTTTAATAGGCATTATACCAAGGTAAGAGGAAAAGAAAATGCCATATAAACTTTTCTGAACACAGTCAGTGCCCTTCAGAGATACATTAAGATATAACCCCCCACCCCCAATTCAATATTTATATTTTTCTTCCAATATTTTGAGAATCGCGAACAGTGAGCTTGCTGTGCCTGGTACAGTATTTTCTCTGCCAGTGCATCGGTGTTCTCCTCTCCTCTTTCCATCCGTATTCAGCGTGCCCTGTCTACCAATCACGTCAATGTGTGATCCTCAACGAGTGGATCTCTGAGCTGGTGTGAGTGAGTGGAGGTGGGGCTAATTTGCATATTCATAGAATCTGATTGACTACAGAGGGACTTTAAGAAGTCATTGCATCATTTCTTTGAGAATGTTGCTTTTACTTTTGTTTCCGTTTTTATTGTCTTAATTATATATTTTGAAATATATATATATATATATATATATATATATATATATATATATATATATATATATATATATATACACATATACACACACAAACAAAATATCAGAACCAGCTAAGCTGAGTGCCATTGGTGTTCGTGAAATGACCATAATAAAAATACGATCCTAGTCCAGAGGTATTATTGAATGACAATGATTCCAAAATGCTGTAAGAGCATGTGGAAAAAGTAAGCACACTTTCACAAGCAGGAATTTCAGAATAAAAGAGAAGATAATTTTTTTTCTTCAGTAAAAAAAACAAACTGTGTGTGTTGAGAGGATTTCAGAAGGCAGGGCAATGCTACACATATAAAAATCATCAAACTGTTAGTTCCCATGGATGCCAGGAATTACCCAAGAGATCCACAAATGATATACCCATTTAAACAGGAACAGTGAACAACTGCAATAAAAAAAGTATTTGAAATCCATGCAGATTTCTTTCTTTCTATGTCTTTTGAAAAATCAATTGCCTACATGTTTCACATAATGAGGTGACCAAAAGCAGTTGTCTGAGAAGCACTTGCACAACGAAATTTGTTCTGAGAAATGGGCTTGGAGTTTAAATAGAACCACATCTAACAGAGTGATAGACACACAATGGCTATAGGCTAAAATACCTATCCTATGTCAAAACTGAGTCAGTGTGGGTCAAAATATGGGTCAGTACCATATTAAAGATTACTGAAGCTGGTTTCTAATACCACCTCATGTGTTCTGTTGTCAGGATTATACAGCTTTATTAATCCACAATGGTTTATGAACAGCTTTATAAAGTCATATAAAGAACAGCCCATGTTCCCTTGTGACATACACAAACATGCTAATTGAATGCAAATCTCAGACACAGGCTGTGGTATTTGACACTGAGGCTTAAAATGCTCTTCTGTTCCTCCCTGACTGTTTAAGGGAAATTCTCTCGTATCACTGCAAACCAAAGCAACAGCTCATTTATAAAATATCATGCTGGCATTGTGGCCAAACAGGCTCTTAGACTTTCCTCTTTATCAGAGAGCACTATGTACTTTTGAGTGTCTAGGTATTTAATAACAGATTAGATCAGGTGAGAACAAAAGATAATGCAATGTTGTTTTAGTTCATGTCAGGCAATGCATCAGCGTCTCAGATGAATACAAGAGAACATTATTTCTTCATATTGCTATATTTGAGGCATGGAACCTTGTGGCATTTGGAGAAAACCAGTGTGGATTGTCAAAACTAGCCAGATAACTAGAAAGATATTCAGACTAATCAGAGGAAATACACAACTCATTGTAATTTATCCCCATGCTTGCAGAGTATCTTTTATTGCTAACTTGACA